GATAAGAAATATGTCAGAGATAGAGAGTACATGGCATAGACAACCACAGGGAAAATGGTAGTTTAGTCCATGTCTGCCATCTTGGCTGTCTTCTTCCTTATAGAGTTTGGCCTTGGGTTAAATAGTGACAATTGAAGTCCCTTTGATTGGTGAGTCTCCTTTCTGTTTCTTTAAGGTTATAACACAAAAGATTTACTACTCTGTCCTTATTTTTTTATTTGTTAGTTCTTCCTGCCTTTTGTAGCCTCCATCCTCATTTCATTGTCAGGCCGGTTTTTTCAGCTTATTCTACCATCTGTGAACAATTGGCTACAATACCCTGCCTGTTTTTCTGCTAACCTACATTATAACTAATGTTATACTGGTTAAATTATTTCTTCCAAGTTCTTTCCCTGGAGGATTTGATTCCGTAGTTCTACGGTGGGGGGTCTAAGAATTCTGTGGGTAATTTTGATGCACATCTAGGTGTAGGAAGAATTTAGTATGTTTTCACTTTGACATCTTAGAGAATTCTAATCATAGGACAAGGAAGACTTTGAAAGAACTTCAGGCATTAGGTAAATGAAGATACTGTATTTATTCAAAGTCAAGCAAAATACTTTCTTATCTGGGTGATATCTGGGTTATTGAAGCTTAATGTAAAAGTTGATGTTAAAATGAATTTTGAAGAAAGGGTAGAGATAGGGGTAGGAGCATGGTTGCATGGCTGGTGCTTGGTCTAACTTAGTTGGAGGCCAGAATGTGTGTCTGTATATGCTTGCTACCTTCAGGGAAACTGAAATATTCTTATGCAATGGGCCACAATTCTTGTCTAGATTTTCCTGTTTCACCCTCAAACTCATTTTCCTTAATGAGGATTTTATTACTGCAACTTGATTGTTCGGAGGAAGTGAAACAAGCATGTGGTCAAGTGATAAGAGACACTGTGAAGCTGCTTTGTAAAATAACTGAACATCTTCCTCCAGCTTATAAGGGCTGGGCCCTTTGAAATCTGCTTTGACCACCCCATTGGTTCTTTGGTTAGATACAAAGACCTTATATGTTATCTAAAATAATAGTTTTGATGCAGAATGATTATTATTAAGCCAAAGTTAGCTTTTTTAAAAAAAGATGAATCCATGTAAAGGCAACATTTTGAGTAAATTATATAGCATCCACTTGATGAAATAATGAGCCTAAGTTTAGGGGATGAAAGTAATGATCTAATGCAATATTTAGAATGGATATGTAGTATGTAGTTATTAACCTAAAAGTCACATTCTGCATTCTTTTAATTTGTGGAAAATTTGTAATTAATTGCTCAAGAAACCTCTGATTTTTTATACATAATCACGTCATAGCTGTTGACTTTCTCCCCCCTCTCCTCCCTTAAAATATATCCTTATAAACAGTAGATTACTTTCAGATTTGTAATGCCTTCTTTAAACATTGAGTTGCTAAGTTTATCCCTGTTGCTCTCTTTTTAAAATAGAATTCCTTTTCCCCTCCTAACTGCTTTGGAGTAGCTACCAACAAATCACACTTTGTTTTTTGATGGTAGCTGGCTTAAAATCTTATTTAACCCTTCTGCCAAGTGAGAGCCTGCTAATTCTGAAATGGTTTCTTTTCTTTTTTTGGTTTTAATTATCGCTGTAGGGAGGAGATGGGTATGGTCTTTCATTTAGAAACAGTTTGAAAGATAAGGGCTGACCCTTTGTTCTAACTCACTCTAAGTGGGACAGTGTCAAAAACATAGGAATTGAAAATCGAAAAGAACAAATAAGATGGTAGATTGATAACTCTTGCCTCTCCCTGGCAAGTGTCTCATGTCATTCTATGATTTACAAATTAATTTGTTATTATGAGCAATTCACTACCTTATGTAGTCTTGCTGATGTTGGTCTATTAACCATTAATTAGCTTCAAAGCAAAATAATAGAAATAACTAACCCCTTGTGATTAATAGGTTGCAAGGAATTATCTTTACTTATTTGGATTTGTGGCCACTGACAGAGCTTATTAGAGAGTGACTTTCAGCAGTATTACTTTGAAAGGAAAATAAAAATAAAAATGAGTACAATGTAGCTAGATCAAGAAAGTATTTCACAGGGCCAGACATGGTAGTTCATGCCTGACATCTCAGCTACTTGGGAGGCAGAAATAGGAGGGTTATAGTTCAAGACCAGCCTGGCACAAGGTTAACAAGACCACTAGCTATACAGGAGGTACAGGTAGCATGATTTGAATCCAGGCTGGCCTGGGCCAAAAGGTAACGAACCTTACCTGAAAACTAAAGCAAAACGATTATGGCTCAAATGGTAGAGTACCTGTGTAGGCAGTACAAGGGCCTGAATTCAAACTGAAGTACTGCCCCCCCTCCCTAAATCATGTATCTGTCTTGTGGAAATGATCTCAGACTTGAGAAATCATCCTTAAATTCAGAAAGAGCATCCTGAGAAAAAGATTATTATATTCCTGCTAGATTGTTAAGAGGAATAATAGGGTCAGAAATGTAGACTTTGGAAGCAAATATAAAACTATTCCCCCTTTCACATTGTTCTCTATGTTTATATTGCCCATAGTGAAGTTACAGTTGCCTTTTTTTTTGCCCATAGTGAAGTTACAGTTGCTTTTTTTTGGTCAGTCGTGGGGCTTGAACTCTGGGCTTGGGCGCTGTCCCCTGCACTCCTCAGCTCAAGGCAAGCACTCTACTGCCTGAGCCACAGCGCCACTTCTGGTTTTCTAGTGGTTTTATTGGAGATAAAGAGTCTCACGGACTTTCTTGCCTGGGCTGGCTTTGAACCGTGATCCTCAGATCTCAGCCTCCTGAGCAGCTAGGATTACAGGCGTGAGCCACCGTGCCTGGTTTCACTGTTGCATTATCAAAACCCCAGAGCTATTATCAGCATATATAATAGGGATTCTCATATTATTTCATTTGATTCAAGAGTTCTGATTTTTCAGAATTTTTTTTGAAAACTATCAGTTTAGCTCAAATGCTTAGCACCTTATAGATAATGTATTTGAAGGTCAAAGAAATTGAATTAGATACCATAAGCCTGAAATTACATGTTGACAAACTAGAAATAATGAATCTGTACTTCCCATCCCTGGCATTTTATTTAAACTATGAAATGTTATTTTGATTTTCCATTTTGAAAGACACAAAAATGGTCTGTGAAATGGTGATTAGCACAAGGCAGCCCCAGGCAGCCCTGGAGTGCTCCACGGTTCAAATGCCCAAGACCAGATGGAAGTCCAGAAGTGGATGACTCAAAGTTTATTAGTTTTGCCACCTGGGCAGTACAGCCGAACCAGCTGCCACAAGGCAGTTCCAATTTCAACAGAGCAGTAAATGAACATAAAAATGAGTGTAAATCCCCAGAATATAGGAAAGGAGAAAGGTTCCAGCAAGGAGATTCATCCAGGGTGAGTCCTGATGGTAATGCTTGTAGGAGGTGCAGCTGACATGCCAGTGAGAGGGTAAGAAAAGGTTGCACCAGGGGCACCAGACCCTGCGAGGAAAAAGTCAACCTTTGAGTTGTTTCAGGGGCCAGTATCAATTTGAAATGTGTGATTGAATTGTTCATTTGGGTTGTTCCCAGTCACATCTGATGGTCTAGAAAGGTCAAAATGAGCTAAGGCTATATCATGATTATATCATGAAACCAGAAGTAGATCCCCCCACCCTCTTGAAAACTATGGAAAATCTTTCAATCATCTCCTTTCACAATTTGGGACCCTGGAATCATAGGTGTCCACTGAACATAAATACTTATGAAAGCTCATAAGGAATCAAGTGGTTTTTCTCATGGTCTTTTCATATAGAGTTGAACTTGATCAGTTCATGAAAATACTGCAAGACTCAGAAGTTTACACTAAGATTCTAGATGATCCCTTTAATGATGGAGAAAGTGCTCCAAAACCTAAATGAAAATAATGATAAGGCTATGGGGCAAGGAGCAAATGGGTAGAGGCACAGTAATTTTTTATTCAATCAGGGTGATTCACTAATGAGTTATTTAAAAAGTCAAATAAATCTTGATTTATTATGTCAAAAGTGCTTGGGCAGTAAGTAACAGAAAACATGACTAAACTAAACTAAAAAAAATAGCAGCTTACTCTTATTCCCTTTTTCATGGAATGGGAAATTCAGAGGAATGTGGCTCCTGGATTTTGGTGGCTTATGCATATACTTCTAGCTACTTAGGAGTTGAGATCTGATGATTGTTGTTCGAAACCAGTCAGCACAGGAAAGTCCGTGAGACTCTTTATTTCTAGTTAATCAACAAAAAACTGGAAGAGGAACTGTGGCTCAAGTGGTAGACCACCAATCTTGAGTACAAAAGCTATGGAACAACATCTAGGCCTTGTGTTCAAACTCTGCTACTGGTCCACAGAAGCAAGCACATACAAACACTTTGGAGAGGGAAAGGCCTGTAGCAGTAGCTGATATAGTTTTCTAGGCTGGATGCTTTGATGCTCTAGGCTGGACTAAGGTGCCCTTTGCTTGGGTACCTTTTCACAAGCTGAATGTCTATACTACATTTATATAGTTCTCAATAGATAATTACTTAGTTCTCATGCAACAATGTAACAGTCTTTGTTTAAGAATATAGACATGTGTATTTTTTGAGTGGGGGTCAAGGGGAAAGGGGTAGATTAGAATAAAAAAGAGAAGGAGAAAATGCAGACAAAAGCCAATGTATATACCACAAAATTAGGAAGACTGAGGGAAGGGTGGTGGTGGGTAGGGTAGGGATGGGTAGGGAAGGCATGGGTGAGAATGTTGAAAGAGGTGACATTGATCAAAATATGTTGTATTTGTAAAGTGCTTTGTTAAATGGCAACTCCTTTGTATAATTCTTAAAAGATAATAATAAAAATCTGTTCGGATAGTTTATTTTTCTTTTACAATGACATAAAGTAAAATCACTTTCATATGATAATATTTTGTTTATGAGTATAATTAAACTGTTTCTCTCTCTCTTTTTAAACTTTTGTTCTTTTCTTTCTGGTAGGTGGCATGTTTGACCCAGATAGCTGCTAATTATCTTATTGGCCAAAAGGAAGCCAAACGCTGGGGCACAGCTCATGGCAGTATTGTCCCTTACCAGGTAAGAATAAAATTTTGTCTTGAGTTGCTAGGATCTGCAGTTTTGTACCATTTGAGTTTGGGAAATGGATTTCTTCAAAAACCCTCCAGGGCATTCTGTAATGTATCTCTGTCTGGTTAAAACAAGGTTCTGTTGTTCTCTTTAAATTCTGTGTTTTGCACATTTCTTCATCAGAAGAAGATTAGAAACAGGATGCTCAAATGGATCAAAGGAACTTGCTGAAAGTGAGTGACTTTTGGACTCATGTGATTTTTTTTTTGCCCCAAAGAGGCAGGGACTGTAGCCACTTTAGAAAGCATGATTTGTTACCATGTCAGTTATAAAACGAATGCTACCTTCTCCATCTGACAATAATATTCTCACAGGGTTGGAGTGAAAGGAAAATTTGTGTGTGACAGATCTTTTTGGAGCAAAACAGATGGTTCAGTTGCTGCTGTTCTTTATTAAATGTCTAAACTTACCCTTCAAAATTCTGGACTTTGGCTAGTGTGAATGAATATGTGAAGAAACTATGATCTTTGCAAAATAAAAACAAGCACTCAAGTACTTTCAAAGCCCTTACCTTTGCTTAGACCATTCACATCATATTATATTTATTAACTTATTGGCCTTATCTTGCACACTGTACTATATAAGCTCAAGAGCAGATTTGTCTTTTACATCATTGTACCTCTTCCTGCTACCATTAAACTATCTGTGGAATGAAGGAGTAAATGTTACTTGTAATGTTAATGCTACTGCTCTTGATGGTAATCATAGATGTCAGTGTTTCCCATTTGCCAGGAAACCTCTCAGCACTATTACACATCCTTTTAAGTTTAAAGAAGTACAAAGCTACTTTCTTTACTATTTAAAAAATCCAGCTGAAGTGATGTCTCACATCTGAAATACTAGCTACTCCAGGGAAAAGATACTGCTTCAAGGACAGCCAGAAACACAGTAAAGCTTTCATTTCAACCAATAGCTGGGCATAGTGATGCATGTCTATCATTAGAGCTCTGTGGGAAGCATGAATAGGAGGATCATGGTCCAGGACAGTCTACTCCAAAATAACTTAAAAAGAAAAACACCTTTGTGGCTGGAAAGGTAAAGCACCTGCCTAGCAAGCATGAGGACCTAAGTTTAACCCAGAGTACCATTAAAAGAAGATATCCACTCTTTCTAAGCTTGATCCATGGCTCTAGACTGGCATTTTTCTGCTTATTTTGGAGATGGTGTCTCTTAGACTTCTCTGGTCAGGATGGTTTCCAACTGTGATACTCCAGATCTCAGCTTCTTGACTAGCTAGAATTATAGATCTGAGCCCCTGGGACTGAGTGTGTGTGTGTGTGTGTGTGTGTGTGTGTGTGTTGGTATGGGGGCTTGAACTCAGTGCCTGGGTACTGTCCCTTAACTTTTGTTGCTTAAGGCTGGTGTTCAAAGCAACTTTTGTTGCTCAAAGTGGTGTTCTACCACTTGAGCCACAGCTCCACTTCTGGCTTCTTAGTGATTAATTGGCAATTAAGAGTCTTTTGGATTTGTCTGCCTGGGGTGGTTTCATACTGCTATCAGCAGATCTTAGCCTCATGAGTAGCTAGGATTACAGGTGTAAGCTACCAGCTAGAATGTCTTTTTAAAAAGCTTTCTGAAGACCTCAGCTATCTCTTGTGGGCATCCATGCCAAAATTCTGTTATCTTGTATATAATCTCATTTGTAAAAAGAAAGTAAAGAATCTTTAACTTTTATTTTGGAAGGTAAATGATACAAAAATGTCTTTCTCTTGGTTGAACTGAGTTATATTAAATGGATTCTGTGCTTATTTGATCTTAATTGATTGCAGCTTCATTATCTAAAGGAAATAAAAGATCTATCAAGATTCTTTGTCAAGAGCCCAGACTTAATTTGTTTCCTCTTGGTAGAGAACTGGTTCAGCATAATGTTTAAAAGTAAATGCAAATTTAACCTGAATGAAGCTAGCATAGCAAGATGGGTCCTAGATAAGCTAGATATCCTGGTCTGTTTTCAATTTTTAAATAGATTTGGGGACTATTTTCAAGGGTGAGTGCCAAGATAATTATAATTCAGTTTTGTATAATTATAACTTTGCGTATAATTTCAATGTGAATTTTGAGCTGAGCTATAATGGAAGACCCTGATCATCTCAGGAGTTAATGTACCCAGCTCACTTTCCTTACTTGTTAAAACCTGTCTTGAAGTTTGTATAACTTGGAATGTAGATTTATGAAAAGTAGTTATCTTTATTCTTAACCGCTCAGATTGTTGGTGTGGCTCTCCTCTATTATTTGACTGCCAACATTTTTCTTTCTTTCCTTTTTACCCTCCTTCCCTCTCTCCCTGCCTCTCTCCCTGCCTCTCTCCCTTCCTTCCTTCCTTCTTTCCTTCCTTCCTTCCTTCCTTCCTTCCTTCCTTCTTCCTTCCTCCTTTCCTTCCTCCCTTCCCTCTTCCTATCTTTTTCTTTTTCATTCCTTCTTCTCCCCTTCTCTTCCCTCCTCCCTTCTCTTCCTCCCTGCCTTCAGTCCTTTGAAATCACAAAAGCTTCTTTAAAGGGATATTTCTTTCTTTCTTTCTTTGCTGGTACTGGGGCCTGGACTCAGGGCCTAGGTGCTGCCCTTCACTTTCTCTCAAGGATGGTGCTCTACTACTTGAGCCACAGATTGACTTCCAGCTTTTCCTGGTGGCTAATTGGAGTCTCATTGAAGGGGTATGTAACACCGATAAAGAAATGTACTCATTACCTTGCTTATGTAACTGTAACCCCTCTGCACATCACCTTTACAATAAAATTTAAATTAAAAAAGTCTCACTGGCTGTTCCTCCCTGGGCTGGCTTTGAGCTGCAATCATCAGGTCTCAGCCTCCTGATTAGCTAGGATTATAGCCTTCATTCACTGGCACCTGGCTTTCCAAAGAGGTTTGACTAGGATTTGCTTGGTGGCTTATATGTGCCTTACAGGTAAAAGTTTAACAGCAGACCAAGACTCAGGAGTTTGGGAGGAGTGGGATTGTGGAGTGGTTCATTTTGTGTTCTTCCCAGCCTTTCAAAAGAGGAGCCTTCAAAGAGAAATTTTCCTTAAAACAATCTGATAACTCATATGGTGATCTCTTCAAAGCTGTCCTTCTAAAATGACTTCTAGGCCAATAGATTAAAGGAAACAACTACTTGGATGATTAAATAAAATTATATATTCTTTGCTTAATTTGTTTGTATTCAACTAAGCAGTAGGGCAGAAGACTGTGTTTTGTTATTTCTGGACATTTGGCAGAATTAACTATAAAGGTTCAGTTAGTAAATTCCAAATTTGTGGAGGTGCAATACTTGGTTATCATTCCTGTGAAAACATCAACTCATGGCAGATTAGGTAACACTGAGAACTTTTTTTTCCCTGTAAATCACTGTGAAAGGCTTCTTTTAACAGTCAAAATTTAAACAATTCACATTTATCTCTTTGAATGTGATTTACTCACATGAAAAGTCACTTTGAGCCAAGTGCCACTGGTTTATGCCTGTAATCCTAGCCACACAGGAGGCTGAAACCTGAGGACAGAGTTCTGAGGTGGGCCCAGTCAGGAAAGTCTGTGAGACTCTAATCCTCAATTAACCACCCAAAAGCCAGAAGTGGATCTGTGGCTCAAGTGGTACAGTGCTAGCCTTGAGCAAAAAAGCTAAGGGACAGTGCCCAGGCCCTGAGTTAAAGCCTTAAGGCTGGCACACAGATACACAGACACAGATACATTACCGCCCCCCCCCCCAATCATACTGAGGCTCTTACTGATGTGTGAAGGTGAAATTCAAACAGATATATGATTTTGTTGTGTATTGACTTTGATAGATGCATTGCTAAATGTAGTGGCAATAATCATGTATTTCCCTTTGAACATATAATACTGTGTAACTGTAGTGGATCTATACTTATCCATATATCTATGACAAATTTATATATCTCTACACACACAAACACACACACATTTTTTCCTTTTAAATAGATGAAAGAGACTACAGTACAATGACACTCCTACTCCACACAAGGAGATCTAGGGATGTTAAGCAACTCTTTTATGTCCTAGCTTAAATTAGAATGATGGCTTTAATCTATCTACTACATCAAAACTAGAAGTTCTTTTCACTCCTTGATACAGAGTAATGTATAATCTCCATTTCTTTAGCAGATAGAGCAATTCTTCTAATCTGTTTCCAGTCCGTTATCTCTTTGACAAATGATCTCTGTTATAATTCTAGAAGGTACAAGAATCATAAGTGACCTAGAAATGAAAGTATATTTGAAGTCTGAGCTATGGAACAGGTTCATTTTCCCTCGATTGAAGTTTTAATTCGTTGCTCTTATATGATTCTTAATGAATCAAGTAAACAATTTCTTGATTAAACTTTTAGTTAGTAAAGCTCCATTGAGAAAGAAACGAGTCCTTGATTTTAAGTCCTTGATTTGAGGGTTTGAGTAGCTGACAGGGTATGAGCTTTGGAGGAAGACAGGCTTCGAGGAGTTAAGTAAGATAGTAGTGCTAAATGTTTTAGGCTCTCCAGGCATCTGTTATTATGTCTGAAGCTGAACCTAATTTTTATAGCTTTGTAAGTAAGAAACAGTGCCATTGAGAATGTCCATGGAAGCTTAAGGGCAGAGTAACTAAGGAAACATGGCTGAAGTTCTTTCTTAAATGTAATGAAAATTTTAGTTTCACTCTTGTTCTTAAAAGAAGAAAGAGGGCAACATGTGGAGGTATTTTTGTTTTAAAAACCTTATTGATGTTTCTCTGAAATTGTAGGGTTTAGTGATTGCCCAAATGTAGCATTATTAAAAGAAATATTGTTTAGAAATCATGTAGAGTTGTTAAAGGTTTACTGAACTATTTAAAATAGTTCATTGAAATTCAGCTTAAAGTCATAACTTACAAAATGAAATATAGGAAAAATAATTTTCAGGAGTAATCTCTCAGAGGCCCAAAAGGTGGGATCTAATCTCTGCAAAGCATACAGACTTTCTGTG